ATAGATAGATAGATAGATAGATAGATAGATAGATAGATAGATAGATAGATAGATAGATAGATAGATAGATAGATAGATAGATAGATAAAAATAAAGATGCATAGATATAAATGGATAGATATAGTGGATACACATGTGAATCTAATTGCTCGGCGCCGAGCAGAAAGCGACTGTATTCATATCTTATGAGATTGCAGCATTTCATCCATTTCCAACCCCTGCACGGCACTCTTTGTTCCATATTATCCAGGCCGATTGGTTTTCCCTCTGGGTTTATAGGAAGGAACGGGCCAAAATGCGTACCTGTGAGCAGGGATCTTGTGGTCTCCAGCCAGGAGGAGGACATCGCAGAGCTGCTTCTGCTGCAGGTAGTTCTCCATCTTGCGGAAGGTTTCCTCGGCGTGGTTTGCGGAATGGAAACAGGTATCAGATCCATTACTGTTCACCCCCAGAGAGGAGGAGGAGGAGCTGCTCACGGAGAGCCTGTTCGAGAGGAAATGAACTGCTTTAAACAAGGTAATTGCTGCTTATGGAAATTACCATATTCAGAGACCCAGGAGGTGGATTAATGATGTCCCACCTAGAATTCAATTTTTATTTGGAATCCTACATTAGGATAGGTACCAAGGGACAGCTTCTTTCTTCCTTTTGACATGGAGGAGGTAAACAGGGACCCCTGCAAAATTGTTTACAGAAGATAAATAATAGACAGGAAAACAATTCAGTAACCAGGAACACAAGGAGCCCAGTTATAATATAATAATAAACAAATATAATATAATAATAAACAAAGTTGAGTTCCATCCTGCTATTTCTAAAGTTTTGTACGAAGGGTCATTTTTTTCAAAGTCTGAAATGGCATCCGGCTAGAAAGATTGAATCAACTTCTCGGTTTCATAACCTGTGTTTTCATTAAGCCTATTTGATTTGCGAGTTAGCCATGATGGATTGGGGTTAACCCGGGTGGAAAACGTACCTACAGCACAGGGGTCTAAATCAGCATTAGAAGCAATCTCACTCCGTGTCTCCTGATGTCCACCTACTTTTCAGATGAAGTTGCCAAAATTGACTGAGCCAGTGGTGGGTTTCAAAAATTGTTCGAACCTACTCTGTGGGTGTGGCCTCCTTTGTGGGAGTGGCTTGCCGCCCATGTGACCGGATNCATCCAATCATCCAGGCTTGCAGGAAGCCACCCATCCATCCTATCATCCATCCAACCATCCCAACATCCAGGCAAACAGGCAGGAAGACTCAGCCTTTCCAAGGTCAGTAAAACAAGGACCCAGATAGTTGGGGGCAATATGTTGATTCCATAAACCGCTTAGAGAGGGCTGTAAAGCACCATGACGTGGGATAAAAGCTGAAATGCTACTTCTGTCTGCTCTTGATACTGCCGGAAGCATACATTTTCATTCTTTGAGAGTTTGTCTTGCTTTAAAATGTTTAACATTCAAATGAAGTGCCAGTGGAGCGACGCTTACTTGACCAGCCATCAGCATTCAACCTCCCTGAGGTCTAGAGAAAAGAGTGAATCAGTATTCAATATATTTTTTCTGGAGAAATATTTTGCTTTCCAGACCAAAAGGAATTCCCTTGCAAATGAGAAAGCTAGTTAGATATTCCAAATATTCATCCTATCATCCATCCAATCATTGAGATGGATAGGCAGGCAGAAAGGCAGCCACTCACCCACACAACCAGCAACCCACTGACCCAACCATCCATCCAATCATCCAAACATCCAGGCAAAAAGGCAGGCAGGCTTCCTGGAAGACAGGCAGGCAGGAAAGGACAAATCCATCCATCTAATCATCCATCCAATTATCCAATCATCTAATCATCCAGGCTTGCAGCCATCCATCCATCCATCCATCCATCCATCCATCCATCCATCCATCCATCCATGCTATCATTCACCCAATCAAACAGACAGGCAGCCAACCACCCAACCACCCACCAACCCAACCATCCAAAAATCCATTCGATCATCCAAGCCTCCAGGCAAACAGGCAGGCAGGCTTGCTGGAAGGCAGGCAGGCAGGAAACAACCCACCCATCCATCCATCCAATCATCCATCCAATTATCCAATTATCCAATCATGTGGGTCTAACTTTCATTTTGCAAATAGACATTTGGGTCATTTATTACCCTTTGGGAAGCTAGTTACACAAACAGCTTTATAGCACAGGGATTTCAAAAGAGTCAGCTGGATTAGTTGCGATTTCTCTACAATAGCCAGAAGGGCAGGCAAGCCAATGATATGGTGACAAAACAGGTTTTCTTTGTGCTTCCAATGGCTTTTAAAGTATGTCTCCAGTCCTCACGGTTCTTATTTTAGAACACTATAATAAGATTAATTCCAATGTTCTTTGATCTCACTGCACAAAGTATCTTATATTCTTGCTCACCACCTAGGGATGGATGGATTTGATGAGACGGGTGGCTATAAAATTTCAGATAAATTAGATGATAGATAGATAGATAGATAGATAGATAGATAGATAGATAGATAGATAGATAGATAGATAGATAGATAGATAGACAGACAGACAGACA